ACGGTGTAATTTTGTAGTCAATATTACCAACATCTTTTACGTACTTCTCACTGTTAAACGAGCCGGTACATAAGCAAAGATTTCGTGCTAAACTAAACTCATAATTTTGGAGTATGGTCACCTTGCAAGAAGACTATTTAATGGAGAACCTTAGACTCCATGAGTCATGCATAAGATGCTTGCAATGAAACAAATTCAATATCTTTCTTCATCCGATCATGGCCGCTAAAGATCGAAAAACGACTTCTTCGCTAGGAACCGTAGGCCGAAGGCGTGGCAGAACCCGGACTCCTCTTCAGCTCTTTGAAGCAAGTTTTGGGACTCAGGGTGAGCCAACCATGACATAGGGATTATGTATCTGCTCCTGTTTTCTCCGACATAGACAAACAAAGTGGCCTTTAGCTAGGTACATTATCGTAAGCATGTTTCTTTTGGTACTCTCATTCTCATCTCTGATGCATACAAACACATACATTGAACTTAACTAAGCCCACGATAATTTTTCTATATATATATATATAATTTTTTTTAAATAGCATAAACCCTTGAGCTTTCAAAAAAATCAATTTGGTCTTTGAACTCGACAAAAAAAAAAAAACTAATTTAGCCCATCAACCAAGTCATTAGCCACCGTGGACCACCACATCAACACCGTTGATCGCCATGTTATCATCATGAACTGTCACATCAATATCGTAACGGTCAAAGACGAAAATCGTTGGTCAAAGGACCACATTACTTTTTTAAAAAAAAAGTTTGAGGTCCTTACATACCATTAAGCCTAAACATAAACTCTAAAGTGAGAAGAAAAGCATAGTTTGAGGGCCAAAGTGTTGATTAGCCAAGCATAAATGTGAGAGCAATTGAGCTACCCATCAGAACCGTTGAACAAAAAAACAAAAGAAACTTCAAAGAAACGTCCCAGCGGAAGAGGAAAGAATATGAGCCGTAAATCATACTGAATTACTGATCAAACATAGTGACGTTTTTGTTAAAAATATTAGTTCGATAATTAAAATATAAAGGATAATAGATTCATGAGAAATGATGTAATTGATCAAAATTTTGTTTTTCGCTTCCTGACCACAGGAATTTATTTATTTTAAAAAAAGCCTCTCGTTCTCTGTTTCTCGTTTAGCTGCAACTGAGGTAGAAAGTAGAAACCTTGAACTCAGTTTCTCTTTGTTATTTTTCATGGTAAATCTTTTGGATTTTTCGGAATTTAATTTTTTATCCTTTCCTCTCCATTTTGTCAGTTAAATTCATGGCTTCCCTTACCGCGAGTCTGCTTCCGCCATTGCTTTTACAGGATAGAAAGACCATTTACAGGACTTCTCAGAAACCCCTAGTTTCTTATGCCGGAGGTGTGTTATTCACTGGGTTTATCCTAAAGCAACTGTCTTTCTTTTAGAGTTTACGGTAAACTTAAATGTTATGGCTAAATTTTCACTTGGGTGGTTTTTGGTTGAATTTGAGCCTCTATTTTCATTGCTTTTTTACCTTTTTAAATGTTAGTAATAGATTTTTATGAGATAGCTTTTAGTTGCATATAAACGTACCCAGAAATATCAATCTCTTGATGTTCGACAGTCGAGATTAAAAATGAGGTTTTGGGGAAATTAATGCGGGACTTCTGCTAAAACAGTGGTAATATTGTATGTATTATGTATATGTATATACATACACACATACGTGGAAGTGAACAATTATCATGGAAATCATTGGTGTTGAGAAAATTTAAGTTAGGGCAAGGCATAAATTCGTAGTTAATGATCTTCGGTTTCGTTGGTTTCAGTCGATTATCATTCATGCTGCGACTCCAGGAATGGGATTCAACTCTGTTAATCGTTTGGCAGTTGTGTTGTAGGTGCACAACAATTACTTGAAACTGAAATTAGGTGTTTTAGACATTCGTGGGGGATTATTGAGTTATTGTTTTTAGTTTTCTCTGATGTCGAGGGGAAACTTGATTCAGAACTGAAAATGTTTGGCAATTAGGTTTTATATTAGTTGCAATGTTCCATGCTTGCCTATTTTCCTTGCATTGCAGGGAGGCAAAACTATGCTGTTATTGTGAAGGCTTCCGGTGATAGCTCGGAGTCTTCAACTGCGCTTAGTATCGTCAAGTCTGTGCAAAATGTTGTAAGTCTCTCTCTCACAGACACTTGCATATCTTTTTAAAGAGTGCTCACATACCATAAATCAAGAATCAAGTATATTGTTCTGAATGTCATTAGATATGATGTTGGGACAAACCGAATCAAACAACAAATAACTATCAGATCTAAGAGCCCAACTAGCTAACTTGTGAGCAAGATGATTACAAGAACGATTAGCATATGTAATATAAAGTCGAGGATTTGACTGAAAAATGGCACGAACTTCCTGAACGAAGATACCAAGCGTTGAAATATCATCAGTATGTCTGGATATCTTGTGAACAAGCGTCATAGAGTCAGTTTCATATTGAACATCCTCCTAACTCTTATTACATGCCAACCGCAACCCAGCAAGCAACACATGGAGCTTTGTAAAACCAGCTTCAGAGCAACCAAATAAGGTTGGGCTAGGCCACCAAGAACCTGACCATGCCAGTCACAAGCCACAACGCCAACAGCCGCCAGTCTTCGATCTCCATCAAAGACTCCATCGGTATTAACCTTGATCACCCTTGCAACTGGAACCATCCACTGAACACAATCCTCATCCGTTCCCACCCTTCTAGCCTCTTTTTCGTTTGAACGCTTAGCCACCTTTCCTTTTGCAATCGCTCTCAAGTACTCTTGATGGAGAATCTTTGCATTCGTAACCAAGATCCAAGGCGGTTGCAACCTGTCATTATGAACAAGAGAATTTCAATTATTTCAAACATTCCACAGAATAACCAAAAAAGCAGCAAATGAATCATGTCCAAGGAAGGACAAAGCCTCCTCCATCCACGTCAAGGGATCATCCGTGATACTAAGATAGGCACAAGCAAGTATTGCAGCAAGGCGAAGGGCTTCTATTGTCTTGGGCAACTACGGACAACATGGAGCGTAGTTTCCTCAGCAGATGAACACATCGGACAAACCAACAGTGTTGAGACGACTCCCTACAGGTAAAGCATTTTGAGCTACCAGCCAAGCAAAGATTCTGATCTTTGGAAGTAACTGAATCTTGGCAATGATTGACCACACCTTGGACTTGCGCTCATTATCATGGACTATTCGCTGCAACCACCAATATCTAGAACGTATTGAGTACAGACCATAATCGTGATTGCCCCAAACAATCACATCCTCATCACATGGTGTAATGGAAACACTAAGAACCTGCATGGCATCCTCATCACTGAACATCCTGCAAATCAAAGGTTCATTCCACAAATTAGTACCAGACAACATAAACTCATGACAATAAATAGGATTAACATCTGAAACAATATAACTCTCTGTGAATGAAACAACTTTAGTGCCACCCCACTTATCACATTGAATTCACGTACAACTATCAATTCCAATTCTCCAAAATAGACCTCCATTTAACGCTTGCAAACTATGATGCAGTCCGTTCCAAGCAAAGGAACTTTTATCCTTCAAAGAAGCATTGAAAATATCGTCATTTGGAAAGAGTATTTCGCACGAAAGACACGTGCAACCAAATTATCATGATTGCACACTTTATGTGCTCGGAACATAGTAAGTACTTTGTTCAAGAAATAACAGATTTTCTATGCTTGAATTTCCGTAAAGCAAGAGAAAGTCTTCATCTTCGATTCCTGCCTTAGGTGGCACGGTATTCATGAAAACATAATTTTCCCCCTTTTTCTGATTTTGCTTTATTTTTTTGGAACAGTGGGATAAATCTGATGAAGATAAGGTAGGCCTCATTGGTCTGGGATTTGCAGCTATTGTGGCGTTGTGGACATCAACGAATGTGATTTCGGTAATCTATCGCTTTGGAGTCATTAACCATATTTGTGAGTTTTAACTATTAGAATAATTACTTTGAGCTCAAACATAACTTCAAGCCTCTTCCTTTGATACGTACAGGCTGCTGACAAATTGCCAATTATCCCAGTTGTGCTTGAAATTATTGGAATTTTGTTTTCTACAGTAAGTTCCCGAGCACTAGCTTTCAACCATGCTTAACATGATGCTGGTACATATTTATGTTTCCCCATCTCTGCGGAGGCTTCATTTACTAACTCATGATTTCCCTTTCCAGTGGTTTGTTTACCGGTATCTCTTGTTCAAACCAGATCGGTAAGTAGAATTCCTCGACTTTAGAGATTGCTTGATGGTGAAACTCAAAGTTGTTACTTGTACACTTGATACCTTGAAGAAGAGAGCACCACCATGGTCATTTGGGAGTGTCTAACGGCCTAACTCTTAGCCGCCTGGTTTTGCAGGGAGGAACTGCACCAAATCATCAACAAGACAATTTCGCAAATATTTGGACTGTGAATTCTGGTGCTAAAGATGTAATAGAGGTTTGACCGTGCAATTCGAATGTGGTTTATTGTAGTGGTGTCCAAAAATGGCAGCTTTTTTTAGTATTACTGTGAAATGTGATGGCTATTAACTTCGAATCACAACCCAATTATAAATTACTTGAAGGTTGAGCCTTTCCAGTTTTCAGTATTCTCAGTCATAGTAAAAACTGAAGTATATATCTGTCAAAGTTATGGGGCTTGCATACTAACAAATGCCATACTTGTTGAAACAATTTAAATTGAATTTTGTGGTTCATATTTATTAGGTTCATCATTTTTAGAATTCTAAGAAAAATCTGAGACGCCACCATCTTCAGACATGAACTTCGGTGCATAAAATAGGATGCAAAGTTGGAGAAATGCTATGGTTTCATGTCTCAACTTATTTAGTAGTCCTTACAGTTTACCCTTCATTGAGGCTGCCATTATCAGTAGCACTGATGAATGTGCCAACGTTTTCCTATGCCATGAGCTTTAGGATGCTCACTGCTACCACCAACTCAGCATCGTGTAAAGCTAAACTTCAGTTCTTGTCGTCTGCATCGGGAGGGAATGCTCTAGCATCACCAGCCTGATGAGAACTTATTTTTATCCCGGAAGCACGAAGAAGATAACAAAAGAGGAACAGAAGAGCATCATCTACCTGTGAAATCAAAAGATTTAGGCGAAAAAATGTTTTATAAGCACAATAACTAAAAAAATATCTGCATTCACCTTATATTTTCTAGTTTGTCAGGATGGAGAAGATAGTCACTCAAAGTTCATATCGATTTGTTGTGAGCTTAGTTTTGTTACTGTTCTAATGTCATAATTATCTTCTAATCTATCTTCCTTATGTTGTTATTTCCTTGGCAGTTCTATTATCCATGTTTCCATAACTCTTCCAAATGATGAAGAGTAAAATGGTTTAGCAGTACTTTAAAATGCGCGCAAGCATGCTTCATAGACAATCATTTTCGGAGAATATATTTGTTCAATTCAAGATATGATTACATGCTCACATAATTTTTGGTATCTATTAGATTGATAGATGAGGCGAGGCATGAGAATCTTACTTTCATGTTTTGTGAAATGATGAGTTTCTCAAGAAAGTCGAGGAAACTTGACAAAACAGACCTTTCCTCCTCTGCATAGGCATTCTTGAGATTATGGTTCAGAATCTGGTGTCTTGAAGAATGTTCCTCAAACGGTTTAAGTTTTTCATTACAGATTAATCTCAGTATTCCCGGGGGTAAAGCCTGTCCTTCTTGCACATCGGTGGAAGCAAAACCAATATTAAGGTCATCAGTAGCCCTTTTCTGAACTTGATCTGCTCCCCCACGGTAGTCATCCTCCTTGGCTTCAAGAATATCACGATTATTGTTTTCTTGTGCATCTTTCACTTCTGGTTCAGAGCATTTTAAGAACACAGTTTATGTGAATTTATGTCATATATATATATTTCTGCAATATGATCTCAAGTCTCAACATCAGTATACACAATAATAATAATAATAATAATAATAATTGAAAACCATAGGTAAGTGGGAGGCAAACTACAGTTAGAATATAATGCTTTGGCCGTAGCTGCAGTATACCTGCAAAAGGATTGGCAGCCTGAGCTAACGCTGCGGCTTCTGCTAAAATTGCCAACCCTGAGCAGACTTTTCTAGTCTTAAGTAGATGATAAACATTAGCTAGCTTCAATCTTGCACCATAATCAGATTTCAGCAGTTAGTTTCTTTTTTTCTTTCTAAAAACTGAATACAAAACATTCGTTGAGTAAATAAATAATCGCTCGGGATAATATATACCTACCTGTATGGATCCCTAAAAGATCCCGCCATAGCAGAATTAATGATATGACAAGTAGGCTCAACTGACAAGGTAGAGGAGAGACAACAACTTTGATTGATCACCTGCCAAACGAATAAGAAAAACTGTGACATAGTCGAATTGAAAGTCGGCCTCTGCACGTTTCAAGTGTAGGAATCTTGTAAAGAGCAGTTTGGTATAGGTATATATATATATACCTTTTGTATATCAGGGAAGCTTTGGCTTGGTGAACTTTTCTCATTTGGATGAAACTCCTGAAGTTTCCTCTTCCTGTATTCCTGTGACATGTGCTGGCCTGATAAACCGGATGCATCTGATGTTGCAGAAGTAATAACCCTCTGCATGTAGATTTTTGAATCAGTACAATCCTCACCGGTGATTGTCATGATCCCCTCAGATCCTTTAAAGCTCTTGTAAAATTTCTTGTTAGTATTATCCTCGGAGTTTCTACAGATTATGGTCTTACTGTCTTCCTCGCTAGGAGCAGATATCAACTCCTTGCAAACCTCAAAATTCTTGCAATCCACACATTTGCAGTTCTGAGAGCAGAAGACGTTAGCTTGGAAACACTCACAGTACCTCTTGAGGCATTCAGATTTCTTGCAGTGGCATCCCCTCTCGTGTCTCCCCACTTGTGGAACATCCATTTTATCACCCTACTTGCAAAATAAAAATAGCAAGAAAAATAACTTGAAGAGATAATAAAAGCAGAATATAACCTGAAAATTATTTGCATTTTTAAATCAATTGTACATGTTTAATCTGAACTAAACCTGAAAGCCCTAATGCCGAACGAAAGAGATGCAGAAATGTACAGATGACTTCAACAAATTTCACTATTCTCAACCACTCAATTAAGGTGCAATGAACTAACGATATTATTGCATCCTATTTTGAAGAAGGGTTATTATAAATTTATAATTGTTAAGCTACCAACTTAAACAACAATTAGTAATAGTTAGAGATGTTTAAATTAAATATAAGATCACACTCAACAGGTGATTTAAGATTTAACCGATGTGAGTTTAACAAGCTACGCAGAGGAACAAGAGCCAACATGCGACGAACCCAGAAGGGATAACAGGAATGAGTAATATGCAAAGCAAACAAAATAGAACTTGGGCTTTGATACGATATAACCATCTACCCTAAAATCAATTAACAATAAGTAAAGAGGTCCAACTTATCATAAAGTCCACACGGAATCCAAGATTTATGAGAAGACAACACCTATCCAATAATTATTTCCCATTAAGTCTTGAACTAGATTGCTTACTATAAAACATGAAGAAGAACTCTATGTACCAGAAGAAGCGGAAACAACCTGATGAACCTGAAATTTGATATTCATGGAGAGTGACAAGAAAATCTCAGCAGATAAACTAAGATAAGCTACTGATCAGCAATTGCTGCACGCTAACATTCTGTATGGGAGCTGGTAACAAACGTCTCCTTGCGTAAAAAATATTAATTTAAATGCAAACTTGCAATGAGTTTATCGACAAGCAAACCCCCCCCCCAAAAAAAAAGGCATCTGGGAAAACTTCAATGAAATTTGAAAGATTTAGTCGCATACCACCACATATTGAGGACTACATGGACTGCTTGAAATCTTTGGCTTGAAAGCATGTGGATTACGCTCTAAAATGATTTCAGAAGCTGCTTTCCGTAGATCCTCATTCTCAACATTGTTGCAACAATCAGCGCAAATACACCCATTACAATACTCACCGGAAGCAAAGCAATCGCAATACCTATCCATTTGTCCATGGGAATTTTTGAGAGACTAAATCTTTGAAAAGAAAATGCATTGCAATATTCCAAACAAAAGGCAGAATATAGCATCCAATCAACCAAATCCTAGCAGAGTTATACGTTTGGATAAAAAATTCGTAAAACAATAACAAATATCATAAAAAACTTGCCAAGACCAATGCTTTGGATACAGAGGAAAAGAGAAGGATAAACAGATGGAAATATAGTTGCAGTTATATTAGTTTATTCTTGGTAGAACAGATCAGATACAGTACTGTTAACATGGAGCTCTATGTATTTTGGAATTGCACTTGCAGCCAAGCAAGAAAGAAGCCAATGCATGATGAAGACAACTCAAACTTTGGTATATATTACTCACAATTTTAAGCATTTAGATTGCTTGCAGCCGCATTGTTTTGGACCTTTCGGAGTACCATTTTTTGCTTTAACATTAACCCATGGTATTGGAGAATCTGGTGACTTGGAGCTTGAAAATAAAAACAAAAAATGGAATCAGATTTTACAATGTCAAGGAACCTTGATTTTAAGAAACATCAAATTGCAAGAAGAAGCCTATCGTGAATTTGAAGTTTGAACCTTTATCTCTGATCTCCTTCATCTATCCCTCTGATATATTCTCGGCAACCAAACAGAAAATAAAGTTGATTTTAAATTTCTCTTCTTTTTCCTTTTCTAATTTTTGAACTCCAATCAAACAAAAAGAGGGAAAAGCAAGAAGAATTCAAAAAAGGAAACAAAAACCAATACTCACTTTGAGGAAAAAGGACTCCGAGGAGACAAACGCATTTCGGAGCTTAGCTTCTCCACAGGAAACGGCAGTGAAGTTGCGATAACGGGAGATAGGCCGAACTCTGTGAAGACAAGCTGCCTAGTCAGCTTCTTTTTTGGCGGGAAATGTGATGACGATCTCCCGGTAACTGTAATCTTAACAGAATCCGACGTCTTTTCAACTGTTTTTATCCCTTTTGGCTGGACATAAGGAGTAGATGGAAATAACTCGATCCTTTTTGGCGGGAAATCTCCATTCTCAATCTCGAGTTGCTTCATTTGCTTTTTGTGGTTTTCGGATTCACTATGTAAACAGAGGTGAAGTAAGTCGATAAATCAAATTCGAAAAAATCAAAATTAGAGATACTATGCGTTGCTTGATCGGTGGGAAAATGTAAGAAAAGGAAACTGTTGCATTCGGGGATTAATTTTGTTCGTTTCGAAGCATGTGTGTGTTTAAACTTTTTGGTGTTTTGAAGCCGAATCAACGAGGTTGAAGATTTTCCTCTCGTTTCTTTCGTCTTGCTTGATTTTCCTATCAACCAAACAATAAATGCAGCTCCTATTCTACGTACCTGGATATCGGAGAGAGAGATAGGAGGAATTTTTGGAGCCAAAATTTGAGTATTTGGGAGCGAAGTAGAGTGGTTAGTTACATTGAAGCAGTCGTTAGATTTAGTTAAAAAGATCGTTAATCTGTTATATATAATATACAAGGATACATCTCAAAACTATTTATAAACTTTGTTAGAGGATAATATAATGCATAAATTTTAATTTTATATAATAATATACATAATTCAATTATTATAAATTATTATCATAATTCAACATAATACCATTTTACGAATATAAATTACAAATACAAATAATTATATCAATTAAATATAAAATGTATATATATTTTTTATCATAAAGTAAAGGAGTCCATGGAATCAAAATATGATAAATATATTTTATCATAAAAGCAATAATAAATTGTTATATTACATAACAAAAGTAATATAATATTTATGAAGAAAAATAAACAATTTAAGAAAAAAATAGTAAATTAATAATTTTTTAGTATAGAAAGTTATACTTATTAAATTATTTTTATTAAGATATACAATATAGGGTAAACTATACCATTGACCACTCAACTATTTAGTCCTTTTACTTTTTCCATCAATCTTTCAATTTTATCAATCATACCACTTAACTATCTAATTGTTGTCAATCAAGCCATTTGCCGTTACCGGTCAACAGAATTGATGATGTGGCAGTTAAAGAAATTGACATAATTATACATTTAGTCATCGATACTTATGCATTATATCAATTTGATTCTAATTTTAATTTAATTTAATAAATTTAATAATCTATTCATATTGCTACACGTGTCACAACATGAATGAAAGACATTTTTTTAATTTAATTATTTTATTTTCCATCCAATCATACGGTGCCACGTGTTTGAGGATTCAAACCTGGGCAAGGTTAGATGGACAACTAACACCCAAACCACCAAGCTAGGAGCACAACTTGGTTTCAAAAAATAACATAAAAGAAATAAGATATAAGATACTGTAATAAATGAGAGACAAAAAAAGAGTTGTTACCTAAAAAATAATTATATATATATATATATAAATTATTGTTAAATTTATCAAATAATTTAAATTTTTAAATAATTTTGAGTTAAAATATATATATGAAATTATTAATAAAACTTTTAAAATTGTTATAAGTTAAAAAAATTAATTTGATGATTATATATATAAATTATTGTTAACTCTATCAAATAATTTACTTTTTAAAATAATTTTATATATTTGTTAACAAAAATAAATTGAATTATATATATATATATATATATGAGATTGTTACTTTTTTTTTAACTTTTTTTCTCTCATTTATTACAGTATCTTATATCTTATATGCTACATTTTGAAGTTAAGTAGTGCTCCTAGCCCTTGCTCCGATTCAATTCCCTCAAACTCCTTCTATATAAATATTGAGGATTAAATATATAATTATGTCAATTTTTAACTGTCACGTTATTTGGTTTAATATAATATTTGACGCTAATGACATATTTGAATAATATTTTAATTAAGTAATAAGCTTTTACAGAAAAGTGACCTATTTGTAACTGAATTAATAATTGAGTTACCTAGTGTGTGTTTTACCCTAGAAAATAAGCAGAAAGAAGCAAAAGGTTGATCGACCCCATTTCTTTCCTCGATCTACCGATTTGATCTTTCATCTGAATCTCGCGCGTTTTCTATCTCACTATTGCTTACTTTTTCCCCAATCATTTGAATTTTGCGTTATCGTTGGAATATATATAATTACTTTTTTTTTTATCTCGAATCGATTTAAATGCGTGTTCTCCTTAGGAGCTGTTTGGTTCGAGAAATATAGGATTCCCATGGAAATGAAATCTACATTCCTCCGTTTGGTTGATCAGTAATCTCATTTCCAGTAATGTAAGATTACTAACAGTAGATTTTTTGGGTATATTACCGAGAATGCCATTACCTCCATTTCTTTATATATTATTTGATTACCGACATTTTGGACTAAAATGCCTTTAAATTTTTTTCCTTTAAAAATATCATTCTTCTGTCATTGAATAATAAAAATTCTACGAAGATTAAATTACAAATTTATCCTTAAACTATTTTAGATTTATAAAAAAATCTATAATTAAAATTTTATATGAAGTTCAAAGATTAAAATAAAATTTTATCATTTTATTAAACCTTTTAATACTTTTAATTTTATAAAAAAATTATATAAATTTTATGATTTTAAATTTGTTAAAGAAAATATATAAATATCTTATAATAATATTATAGTAATTCAATTTATTAAAAAAATAAATATATAATAAATATAATTTGATCAAATATACATTCTAATAATTTTTTATTCTTTTAACCAAACACAATAATCTTATTATCTAGTACACCAATCAAACACAAAATACAATATTTCAATAATCTTATTCTCTTGTAATCTTTTATCCCGTTTATAATCTTAAATTCCGTCAACAAAATGCACCTGTCTATTTCCCTTTCTCTGATTTCACTTATGAGTTATGGTAATGAATCTAACTAATCACGTCAGTGATTTTTCCTAGTTTTTTTTTCATATTTTCCCTTTTCTTTTTAACGTCCAGTTTCTCAATTCTCAGCGTTTTTATTCTTTTGAATGCATCGTTAATTCGTAATTCTTTCCCGGTATGCAAGTTTGGATTTGAATCTTGTTGGGTTATGATTTGAACAAGTTGGGTCAAGGTATTTTCTTTTTCTTCTAATCAATTTATTTGCGGCATGTCAATGTAGGGTTTATGGCGTGCTTGAATCGGTGGATTTGAGTTTTCAGATCAAGTTGTTTTAGGAATATATAGTTAAAAAAGAACGGCTTGGTTCAGCGGGAAAGTGTCCCTAGGGGGCTTTCCTGATCTTGCTGGGGCTGTCAATAAACTCCAAGAGAGTGTGAAGAATATCGAGAAAAATTTTGATAGAGCTTTCGGGTTCGAGGAGAAATCAGAATCAAGCAACAATGAAGGTATCTTTTTTCTTGGTTTACATTGTTTACATTGTTAGTATTTTGTGTAATATTCTAGCCTTTGGATGCAAATGTCTAGTATAAACCTGTGTTAGGGTTTGCATTAAGATATTAGGTTCATTTTGGTAAATAGCAATGGTTGTTCTCATTTTCATTGTAGGTTGAACTATTAGATTACTAAACTAGAGTTGCTAAGTTTGTTAGGCAAGTGGCATGTTGCAAGTAATGCACACTGCTTCAGTTCCATGTTATAGGATGTCAATTAGGAAGCCTGAGTTGTAGATTGCCTCTATTGCCCATTGGAGTGCTAATCTTGTAGTTGAAGGTACAAATGTGAAATATGAAAAAAATAAAATAAAAAATAAAATGAATTGTTTCTATTTACCATTCCTGTATAAGCCTGTGAAGGTTAACTTTTCTACTATTTTTATTTTAGTTTGAAATAATAAAAATAAAGCCTGTTTGTTAACTATGTCTGCTTTATTTCACACTCCGTGGAATCCAATGAACCTTAACACAGTTTACTTCTTTGCTTCCTTTGAAATGAAGTTATCTCCATATTACCGTATTTTGTCACATTCCTTGCATAAATAGGTCAATGCTGATCTCATGCTTAAAGAAACACTACATGCTGGTGACTTGTTTTTGAACCTTTTTTTTTGCAAAGTCCCAAAAAGGATGATGGTTCTAGTGGCTTATCATTTCTATTATTTTCAAAGTTGAACCAATGTTGACTATGAGTTGATGGAAATTATAATGCGGGTTTGAATCAGTCATACTTATGTCTTCCTGTCTGTATTCTCTCCAGCTTCAGGATTGTGGTCTTCAGAGATTCCACCTAAAGTTGAGGAAGAAGAGATTGAAAACGACTGGTCAGCTCATTCTCATGTAAAAACCACTTTTGAAGAAGATAAAGAAGCTCTCATGGTAGAAAAAAATAGCAAGAGATCAGATACTGTGACTTTGGACTCTGGTAAAGCTGAATCTGAATCAGAAAAAGTTTCTGCTGAGCCTTCTGAATCTGCCTTTAAGAATGTTAAGTCAGAATCTACAGAAAATGGACAACAGAAAGAAATTTCAGATGTAGTACCCTCTGCAGGTTCTGACTCCAAGGAAGCCAAACAAGAAACTGCAGAGGTAAACACAGTTGAAGTTACTGAGCCTGTGCCGGCAGAGTTGAGGGATGCTGTAGACATGCATGAAACTAATGATGAACGAAAGACAAAAACAGAATAGATTTTGGAGAAAGGTTCTCCAGTTAAATCTGAGGAATCAAGTGATACCGAGCTGATGCTGGAAATGGCCCTGATGAGCCAATGTCCTCAAGTTTTCATTCTGTTATCGTTGAGGAGAATAACAATGCTCAGGTGCTTTTGCTTCCTACCGAATTGGTTCTTGAAAATGCTAAAAGAGTTGAAGTGGACCGGAGGTTAATGATGGTGAAGCTGATGCTAAAGAAGAGATACACTTGAGTTCTGCATCTGCATTGTCTAACTTGGCAGATTCTATCCATGAATTGGAGAAGGTGAAGATGGAAATGAAAATGATGGAATCTGCATTGCAAGGTTCTGCAAGACAAGCTCAGGTACTTGATGTCTTCCATTGTTTTGTGATTCTGTTTTTATTATAAGTTCACTAATGTTCTTCCAAGTTTTTCTGACATGAGCAGATTTCCTTCTCTTGTCCATTTTTTCCCCTTCATATGCTCATCACTTCCCCAATATGGAAAAATAACATAACGTAGGTTAGACCCTTTGTAATGCACTATAACACCAGAAGGCTTATTTTAATGTTCTTTAAATTTTATTTTAAGATTGGGGGGGGGGTGTCAAGTGGTTTGTATGTCATTCTCTGCAACGCAGAAATTCTTGATTAGAAATTAGGCTCCTCGCTTTGCGTCCTAGGAGAATATGCTTTTACTACCTTTGACTTAATTGATTATGAACTTTACTTTGTCTTCCATGTGTTCATCTTTGAGATGATATCTTCTGCTACATCTGTCCAAGAGAAAGGGGGAAAAGGGAAGAAATCATTTTATATTGTATGTTCTTTTGAAGTTTTACAGTTCTTGAATCTCCAATTTCTATTTGTTTCATTTTCAGGCAAAAGCTGATGAAATCGCTAAGCTGATAAATGAGAACGAGCACCTTAAAGCTGTAATGAGGATTTGAAGGCATGTGCAGGCATTTTTTTCGCCATAGATGGTTTAACATGGTTTGGTTTGTCTCTATGCTAGTAGTGATACCGTAATATGTTTTCTTCTTGTCTGTTGACTTGTGCTTTCTTGAATAAAAATGCATGAATTCCTTGTTATCAATTAGAAGATTCAGCTCAAATACTCAGCTGTTAATATAATGATATTAGCAGTGTCGCATGGCTGATGTATGATAAAAAATGATGGATAAATAGCTTTTTGGTCTCCTTTTTCCATTTGATATACCCCTATGTTTCATTGTCTTTGGTCAAGCTTTTTCTTGTTTTGCACGTGGTTTTACTTTCATGTGTAAAAGCTAATATAAACCTTTACATGCCTTAGAATCATCAATTTATATAAATGTACATTTAAATTAGATATTTTATAGACACAAGATGGTCGAATGTCTCATGTAAGAAATTTTCTTTTATGTATTATTTAGCAATGTGTTCATGTTGGGCTTGAGTTGCCCCCCTTGGCGAATTCCTTTTCTTCTCTTATACATTTTGTATGAGTATTTTTTCTGTAAAATGTTGGTTTATATGCAATAAGAATGTGTTTTAGCAGTGGTTAGAGTTGTTTTTTATGCAAATCGTTTGCTATGATGGGGATTACTATTCTGTTCTATTTTTATTTATAGCTAACTTTCTTTGAAAAGCTGGTAACATAGATTGTTGATTGGCTCAGTTCTCAATTGATTTTATTTATTGATGTAAATACTTTCTATTGCATTTCAGTTGGAATACATGTGTATGTTACTCTATTATGTTATTGTTAGTGCTTCTGGTTTGCATGATATACATTCAAATTGTTGGATCCTATACAATATGTTGTAACTGTTATGACATTGTCATTTGTAGCATGTTTGGGTTTTAGGCCTCATTCGGTGAGGCACCGGGATTCCACACTTTGGTTCAATGACTGTCATTCCTCAGAGGTCAGAATAGTCTATAACCACCATACTAGTTGTCGTAACCGATTTTCGTCCGGGCATGAATTTTTTACTTGGCGGGAAAAGTGATGTGAATAAATAGTTTTTAAAATAATTTGGGAGTCGCCATCGGCCTTTTGGGTCAGGTAGGTCGAATACCTAAAAATCATCCTTTAAAAGAGTTTTTAAGAAAACATCGATTAAAAGATAAACTGATTTGCGTTTTAACCAAAAATGCGTTCTTTTTAATAATAAAAAGGGATTCGTGGTCGGTTACGTTTAGGGAAGGGTTAGCACCCATACAACGCCTAAAATTGGTACTTTTTAATTATAAATTGTCTCTATTATTAGAAATTTTAAAATTTAAAATATATTTAATTTATAATCCTATTATTTCAAAATTATAATTATGAAAAAAATATTAATTTATATATATTTATAAATAAAATATTTATTTATTTAGAAATATCAGAAAATGACTTCTAGGTGCCATAAGATAGTTCTTTTCTTCGATATTAAAAAAATAAATAAATAATTAAAACAATTAATATATAATTTATAAAATAGGATATTTAGTAAAAATATCAGAAAACAGACTTCTAGGTGCTTTAAGACAGTCCTTTTTTTAATATTGAAAAAATAAATATATATTAAAATATGATTAGTAATTTATGAAATATAGGATTTTAACAAATAAACAAATATTATTTATTATATATATATATATATTTATATAAATAATAAAAATAATAATAATGAAATAATAATTAAAGTAATAAAAAATAAAATAATAATAAAATAATATTACAAATAATGATTAAAATAAAAGGAATTAAAAATATAGTATTAAAATGTAAATATTAAAAATCATAGTCAAAATGAAAATTTAATGATTAAAATGTAAAATTATAAAACTAGAGTACTAATTCGAAATATATAAAAGATGGGCATTAAAAGTGTAATTTAACCATAATTCATAATACGGGACTAAAACAAAAATATTAAAATTATTGAGGACTAAATATATTATTTATCCTAATTATAGTTAAGGACTAAAATAAAATTAAATAAATTTAGAAGACTAAATTAAAATAATCAAAAATTACTTTTAGTGACTAAATTACAAGGATTAAAAACTAGAATGGCTGCGGAAAGGTTTTGGCCTTGCGCGAAATTACAGATATACCCCTCCCAAAACGGCGTCGTTTGGGAAGGGGTATAAATACCCTGAAATGGTCGGTCCTTCGGGCCATTATCTCATTTTCTTCTTTCTCTCTTCTCTCTCTAACTGAGAGAGAATTTTTAACTCTTTCGTCTCTCTCTAAAATTGAGAGAGAGATCACCGGCCGGCAGCCGTGCTCCGGCGTCGGCAACCATCGTCGGCCACCGCTGTCGGTGGTCGGAAAATTTTAAAATTCCCAAAATAAAGATCAGAACATCCTAAAGACGAATCCAGTGTCTTTTTTCTCTAAAAAGCCTTGTAATTACCTAGATCTACAGAAATACTCTCGGTATTTCAATTTCTTTTGCGGCGTGTGGAGGTTCTGACGACGACGTAGCTTCCTCGGTGGTAAGTTTTCTCACTCTATTCTCTCTTTGCTTTTTGATTTGTTGCTGTGGGTTTTGTTTGGCTTGCTGTTGTGGTCTGTTCGGGTTCTTGCTCCCGTTTCTGTTATCTCCGGTTCTTCCTCTATGTTTTTTTTTGTTTGCAGGGTCCGGTGGCTTTTATAGCCACCACGGAGCCATGCTCGGACCGGTCCAGAGGGGGAAGTTCGGTGAGTCACCGAGCTATGTGGTGACTCACCCCATAGCCGCGACGTGTGGGGGGAAGCTGGCCTTCTGGAATCCTTTGTTGGCGTCGTGGCAGCAAGGTGTCGTCGTCGTGGGGCACTGGAAGCATCTGGAGGCGACAGCTGGGATCTTCTGGAAACTTGAGGCGGCGACATCAGTGCTAGGGTTTAGAAACCCTAGCTGAAACACCAAATGTTTATGGTTTCCATCTGGTCTGGGTCGGTTCTAGTTGGGCCTGGGGTTTGGGTTCCGAGATTTGTATATGGCCTCAGCTTTGGGCTTTGTAATATTTAATAATAATAATAATAATAATAATAATTTTAATAATAATAATAAATTTAAATTTAAAATGAAAAAATTGATGTCTACAGCTGTCCCTCTTTGCTTATCCTTGTGTTAACAAGAATAGAGCAAAGACGAAAAAGAAAATTAATTTTTTCATTTGGCTTCTTTTAAGTAGGATGGAAATGTTGAAAACATCATGCACTGAAGGACTTACAGATGACCCGAAGGTTTTGAAAACATCATGCACTGAAGGACTTACAGATGACCCTAAGGCTTTGAAAACATCAAAAAGCTCCCGAAGGCTTTTTGGAAACATCATGCACCGTAGGACTTACAGATGACCCTAAGGCTTTGAAAACATCAAAAAGCTCCCGAAGGCTTTTTGGAAACATCATGCACTGTAGGACTTACAGATGACCCTAAGGCTTTGAAAACATCAAAAAACTCCAGAAGGCTTTTTGGTAACATCATGCACTGTAGGACTTACAGATGACCCTAAGGCTTTGAAAACATAAAAAAGCTCCCGAAGGCTTTTTGGAAACATCATGCACTGTAGGACTTACAGATGACACTAAGGCTTTGAAAACATCAAAAAGCTCCTGAAGGCTTTTTGGAAACATCATGCACTGTAGGACTTACAGATGACCCTAAGGCTTTGAAAACATCAAAAAGCTCCCGAAGGCTTTTTGGTAACATCATGCACTGTAGGACTTACAGATGACCCTAAGGCTTTGAAAACATCAAAAAGCTCCCGAAGGCTTTTTGGAAACATCATGCACTGTAGGACTTACAGATGACCCTAAGGCTTTGAAAACATCAAAAAGCTCCCGAAGGCTTTTTGGAAACATCATGTACTGTAAGACTTATAGATGTGGGAAATAGTTTACTAAGTAAGAAACTATGAAAATCGTTTTCTTACTTTTTAACAATTTCATTTTTAGAAAAGATTGAATGAGAAACTATGGAAATCGTTTTCTCATTATTTTTCAATATAACATGTTGATTGGGTAACATGACCCAATCTCAAGATAATGTTCATTCTTGTGGATTGAGTCCATCTATTATTCAGATGTTGGCGTGATTCCTGCATTTGCGGTTTTGAATACCTTCTTCTTGTAAGGTATTTTTTTACCATGAATCTTCTTGTTTTTCCGAAGATCTATAAAACTTCATGTTTGAATGCACTCAGATGTATCAATGTTTTACATTGTCTATTGTGTAAATGATATGCTTATGAATGCATGAATGTTGATGCAATCTTCATTTGACTTCAAAGTGGTGAACTAGGCTTCCTTCACTTCATCATTTATTTCTAGGGTCACCTCTGGATATCAGTGTAGAAAATTATGCTATCAAGCTTGCATTTCTGTAGAATCATCTGATCAATCTGTATCTTTGTGTCATCTTTGCTTCATTTAAGTCTCAGAAGAAATATTTCATTTGTGGAACTCTTGCCGTAGTCAGAACTATGACTTTGATGCCCCATTTTGTCTTTGGTAACACCGGCTTTCTTTGTCTGGACTTGTGTAGAAATCCAATAAAACTTTCATCTTTGAAAAGAGAATCTATCATCTTTGAAAAGAGAATCTATCATCTTTGAAGAGTGTATATGTAGATATGCCTGACTCAGCAGGGATTAATTAGGAGAGTAGAGTCTGTTCTAATTTAACTCTTGAAACATATCACAAGGAAGATTTATTCCAATTCCTTTCATGTCTCCACATATAATCAGATCTCGAATAAGGCAACTTGGACCATATCATGTCGAGATGCATAACAACAACCTGTCGTTCAAACTTAGTTGCCGTCACTAGTTTCTTGTTGTTAAAAATTCAGCTATCCTTCTGTGGAAAGAAATCTTCACCATATCTCACTTTTAATCTTGGGGTTGAAGAAGACAGACTTCATCTTGTATCAATAAAGGAAAACCATATGATAACAACATTGGTTCAACACCATAATCCCTGGTTCA